AAAAATTAATCATGCTTGAAAGTCGGTTAGCTGGCCCCGCCATCACTAAGGGTCGAGTTTCACAAAACGACTACTTTTTGACATGTGGGTCTAAACAGGCTGGCCAGTTTAAGCTAGTGGCCTGTGAAGGCTGGTTCAATTTCCTAGTACTATCTAATAAAGACAATCATGTTTGAGTATGTGTATAATATTTTGAATGAGTTGACTATACAAATTTTGGAGTTTTGAGTTTGCAGTTGGTAGTTGTATGGATCGGTGGCGTTGGAATATTACTGAGAGAAAAGCGACCCCTCATCAAAGGAAACTAAGATTGAGGTCTATTAATTCTTTTAAATTCTTAGTGTTAACTCTTGAATTCATATTTGCGTGGATTTTTTTCTTCCAATTTTGGATATTATTTTTCGAAAGAGTTGCATAAAGTTTGATGTTAAAATAATTGTAAAAATCAGCTAGCTGAGGCGATAAATATAATTAGTTATTAGTTTCTTTTCTTTGTTTTCCCCCGCCCCCCCCCCCCTCAAAAAGTAGTCTCTTATGAAAGGAGATCCTTTTGTTCCGCCACCTTTTTGATGGCACGGAATGATCGGTAAAAAGTTCAGTTCAATCATGCAATCATGTTCTCCTATTCAAAACGTAAAAAGTAGATAAATAATTTAAAGAGAGTAAAAAGTGCATTTCAAATCCTAAACTTATTTCTTAAATGCATCAAATACCCAAATTTTTTTAATAGTACAATTTTATGTACATATATATTTTTTGATGTAGTCAGCATTTCAATGTGCACAAACAAAAAAAGATCATAAGTAATATTACACTATTAAACAAATTAGATCAGGAAGTAGAGGTTGTACCTTTAACCATTTAGAAAAGAAAATAAATTAAATTCTTATATTTAAAATTATAATAAATCCTCAAATAATTCTTAGAATTGCAAGGAATATACGATAAGAATGCAACAAAACAAAAAGTAAAAGTTGCCCCTAAAGAATTTTATAATATTAAGACCATGAAACCCCACCAACCAAAAGTAAAGGCAATGTGGTTATAATAACATAACAAGGGTCCTCTTTATCATGGTGCAATTTCTCATAGAGAGTGGATATTTATAATTTATAATTATTAGAATATCAATTCCGCCATCATTTCCTTGTTGTTGCTGGCTTTGTTGTTGTGGATTATTATTATTATTATTATTAAAGATTTAAAATAGCTATATACAATCCGCCTAAATTGACGCTATTTCTCCTTTCTTACCTCTCATGCGCCTCTCTGTCATGGTTGGTCGGCATGTCTTGTCTTTCTCACCAATCTTTCTCTTTCCGGTCCCTGTTTCTCATCAGTCTCTGAAAATGAAAGAAAAATGGCATTCCTAAATATCTTATTAACTAAATCATGTAGTTTAAAAAATAGTTAAAATAAATTAAAAGTAATAAATATGTAAAAAATTAATTTCTTTAAGTATGTATTTATTTAATGAAAGAGCAAAAAATAATGGGAAATACTCCTCTGGTTCTATTTATAGGCTAGAAAGAAGATATTTTTTGATCCTATTTATAAGGTATTGAGAGAAATTTTTTTATTTGAATGTGCAATTTTACTTTTTATTTATTATTGTGTTAACTTTGTTTACATAAGGTATAGTATATATTAAACAGTGATAAAGACTGGTAAAAAAAAAACAGTGATAAAGATAGAAAGTTTTTAAATTTTAAATGAGAGTTAATGAAGTTTAAAGTTTTTCTTGACTTGCGTAAAACATGTTGAAAATGACTTATAAATAGGATTAAAAAAGTACCATTTATAAGATAAAGGATTAAAGAGAATAGAAAAATTAATAATGGGCAAAATTGATAAAGCCATATTTAATGTCCAGACAATCTTTAATGAGAGCTTATGATTAAAAGATCAAACCAATTCAAATTTTGAGATTTTATAAATAAAACCGAATGAACTATTAATTGAATTCATGTAAAATAAGTTACGTTAAATTTTAAATTAATTACCACTTACTTTTTTATTGGAATAATTAATATGCAAGTCCTTATAGTTTCAACTGATTTTTAATCAGGTCCCTATAATTTTTTTTCTTTTTATCAAGTCCTTATATTTTCACATATTTTTAATCAGGTCCTTATAATATTTTTTCTTTTTATTAGGTCCTTATTGTTTTACTTTGTTTTTAATTAGGTCCTTGTAGTTTTTATTCTTTATTTTATAAATAATAAAATTTTAAAAATAAATTATTGTAACAATCTTATGTTAATATTCTTTTAAATTTTTAGTCAAACAAATATATTATTTATTTTCAATTTTAATTTTTATAATTATAAGACTCAAATTACAATAATAAATTTTTATAAAATTAAATATAATTATAAATAATTTATATTTAAGTACAATTATTATTTTGATTATTTATTAATTACTAAATGATTATATTAATTATTTTGTCTAATTATGTAATTATTAATTTAAAAATGAAATTAATTTTTAAAAATAAAGTTAATAAATAATTTTTTTAAAACTACAAAGGACCTAATTAAAAAATAAATGAAACTATAAAGACCTGATAAAAAGGAAAAAAAATAGAAGGACCTAATTAAAAACACACGAAAGTAAAAGGACCTGATAAAAAGAAAAAAACTTATAAAGACCCAATTAAAAATCAAATGAAATTATAAAGACCTGGAGATTAATTATCCCTTTAAATATATCTTAATTAAATTACATGTATTATTGTGTCATATGTAGCATACAAATATGAGTCGTTTATAAGTGATAAATTTTGTGATTAGTTATAGATTTCAAAGTTTATATTTTATGGCTGGCCTAAAAAATTAATTTATATTTTATATTCATCGAAGTTGATTTTTGGTTTTAGTGTTACAATAATGTTGAGTCTTGGGCATTAATTAATCATAAAAAATAAAAAAAGATAAAATAGTTTGTAACCAACTAGTATGGAGTATTAATTTACTGTTGGAAATAAAAAATAGTATTAATTTATAATATATCAATGCGTAGAATGAAGAAGCTGAGTGGTGGCTAGTTAAAAATAAATAATAATTTTCATATTCCTTACGTCTTGTGAAATTAAATGGCTTTAAAATTACTTTGTCCTAGGATCACTAGTATCATTTTCTCCAAATTAAAGTGCATCTAATCACACATTAGTAAGGCAACTATATGAACTTTCATCAATATTTTAAATTTAATTTAAATTTAAAATTTTCACATCGGAATTTAAAATTGAAACACATCAGATGGAATGCATTGAATGCTAATAACTTTGTGTTCTTAACTTTTTGATAAATGAGTTATATATATATTGATACAGGTCCATATATGTGTGCATATATACAGGCAAGCAGCTAGGAAAATTAATTTTTTTGTCCATTTATTTTTTACACAATTATAACTCAATTTCTAAATTTTATCTCGATCTAACTTAATTTCTGTAATTTTAACTTGATTACAACTGAAACCCCTGGTAACTCAGTGCACTTCACTCATGATAATTTTAGTCATTTAAAACTTTAATCCCTATATTTTTATTAAAAAAATAAAATATACTATATTTTATGAAACTTAAAGATTAAAATTTTAAATAGCCAAAACTATAGGATTAAATTATAAACGAGTTAAAATTATAAGGGCAAGAGATTAATTTGGCATATATGTTGGCTTGGATATGTACTGTTGCTTAAAAAAAAAAAAAAAAAAAAAAAAGAAGAGAAAGAGTTATCGAACATTTATTTGGTTTAAATGAAAATTAAAAATTGAAAAGTACAGGTTAGGTTGTTAAGGTTGAAACGTGAAGGCATGTGGACTTGGCAATTGTTCGCAACCCGAGAAAGCTACTCGTCGCGATTAACGGCTCAACTGACTTGAATGTTTTTTCTGTTTTGGCTCACGAGAAAGGATGCTTGACCGTCTTACAAGAAAGTACGAGGCTCCCTTATTATAAAACGGCACTCTCTGACATAATTTTTTAATTTAATTTGTATCCCTCCGATCCATATTAAATGCAATTTTTAATTTTTAACCAATCTTACTCTTATTTAGCATTATTTTTTTCATACATTTTTTTTCGTTTTTCCTCATAATTTCTCTCTCACGTATCTTCTGATAAATAAGGGTGGTATTTTAAAAAAGAAGTTCTTTCCTAATATATTTATTGTTTTTAATTAATACTAACAACTTTTTTAAACAACGTAACTTGATTAAATAAATCTTTAGAAAAGGAGTAAATATTTTCACAATTCTCAAAAGTCTTTTTTGGCAACTACAATTCTTAAAATACTATATTCTTAATTTGGGAAAATAATACCACTTTTCAATTTTTTCGTTTATTAATAATGATTACTACAATAAGTTGTATTTAAAATTAAAAAAATGACAACAATTTAGTACGCTTAAGGAGCATAATATTTTAAAAGTATAAATTACCTTTTTTTTTTTTGCCAACGAATTACCACATCTTCACTTTGGTTCCTAACATACCACATCTTTATTTTATATTTAAAATCAAATTGGGTTTTAAAATTTAACCTATAATTAAAATAGGAAGGAATATACTTTAAGAATTTAGCCATTCATCTGTAAATGTACGGCGTTATACAATGTGTTTATTTTATTTAAAAAAATATTAACAACATAGAAACAGAACAAGAAACAAGCCAGATTGGGTCTCCCTAGTGACCAGTTGCTAGTGTTTAAAAAAACGGTGTCGTCTCAGCCAAAGCTTCTGGAATTTCCATGCCAGAAGAGTCAACATGGTCGCATAACGCCGTTGCAGTAATTCCAGTCCGTGAGCTATTAAAAAAAACGCAATTATTAATTAGTTAGTAATTACCGTCTCTAATAGGGGTATTATTGTAATAACAAGATTATTGGAAGGGCTTGATTGTAATTTAACGCCTCTCTAAGGTGAGGCGCAAAAAAAAAAAAAAAAAAAAAAAAAACAGCAAAACGCAGAGACAAAGAGCACCGAAACTGTGAGCGATAAGAGCAAACCATATACAAACAACAAAGGCATTCTCAGTGGTGGATCATTGTGGTTTTCTCTGCCCAAAAAAATTGAGAAACTCTATTCAGAAGAAGAAGAAGAAGTAGTAGCTGCTTCTGGCAAAGCAATGCCTGTCATCACCGAAATTCTATGCTAATTTATCTGATCTTGACATTCTCTTTCGTTGTTTTCATGCAGATGCTCACTGCATTGTCTGGAGAAGGTGATACATTCTTATGAGTTTTTGCTTTTGTCATGTTTAAATTCTTCTTTTGTACATCGTGATTCGTGAGCGTCATACCTTCTTCTTCAAATAAATCTGAACCGGATTTGGTAGAAGCGATCTGTTGGTTGACGAATGAAGAGGTTTAGCTTGTAACACATTTCACAATTTTTGGCCCAACTTTTTTTTTTTTTTTGCATTTTACTTCATATTGTACGTTGAAAAGTGAGTCAACAAGAGTGATGGATGGTCTTTGAAAATTTGTTGGTTTGTTTCTTTTTCATTTCGTTCATTTCCTTCTTTAATTGCATTTGGTTCAATTGGCAGTGCCTCCGTCTCTGAACATCCAAGATCTTGGAGGACAATGCTAGCTCTGAGAACATCAAAGCTTGTATTGTTTATATTAGCAACCTGTTGCGAGTATCAAATAGCTCAGATGCCAATTTCATTCGCTTAGTCATTGGTAAAATGAACTGAAAACGTTGAAATTTTACGGTGGTTTTTAGTCTTCCGTATTGAATTGCTGTATCCAATGTTACGATGGAAATCATGAAATTTCTATGGTTTTCGGAATTTGCAGCTGCGAATTGATATAGGTGGAGGGCTATATTTCAGGTTGATTTTCCTGAAGGCATGGCATCTGGGTGGGACCATTTTGGGGATATTGCAAATGTAGCCCAGTTGACAGGCCTGGATGCTGTGCGGTTGATTGGGATGATTGTAAAAGCTGCAACTACAGCACGAATGCACAAAAAGAATTGCAGGCAGTTTGCACAGCATCTGAAGTTGATTGGGAACTTGTTGGAGCAGCTCAAGATCTCAGAGCTCAAAAAGTATCCCGAAACTCGAGAGCCTCTGGAGCAGCTTGAAGAATCCCTTAGAAGGGCTTATATATTGGTCAATAGTTGTCAAGATCGGAGCTATCTTTATTTGTTGGCCATGGGCTGGAACATCGTTTATCAATTCCGGAGGGCTCAGAGTGAAATTGATAGATACCTGCGCCTTGTTCCTCTCATTACACTTGTAGACAATGCTCGAGTCAGGGTATCTATCTGTTAGTAGTGCTGTGTTCTATCTCTTCCTATAAACTATCTGCACTTGATCAATTGTGCTAGAGTTTTATTCTCCTTCAGTTCTATGTTTTTAATATATGGCAGTTGCTTCACTGCTATTATTTTATTAATATAATATTTTTTGGCCTTTGAAAATTAGGGACCTATGCTGGCAGGGTGTATGCCTGAATGTGTGCTGTCAACCAGCCACGTCATGTAGCTAGTTATGTAGGATAATAGTTTTCCATATTTGTTGAGGACTTTCTTGAAGTTACATCTCTTAATATGTCTTAATTAAACACACGTATAGTACGAAGATATCTCCTTATATTTTGTATCTGAACTGATCAGAATTTGGAAGTTTCTTGTCATATATAAGATGTACGATCTGTTTAATGCTATTACTATAATCATAGCATCTGCAGTTGCAAATGTGGCCTCAATGTTTTCAATAATCTGTTGCTTCTATGAAAATTTCAGGAGAGACTTGACATTATTGAAAGAGATCAATGTGAATACACATTGGATGATGACGATGAAAAGGTGCAGACTGTTATTATGAAACCTGATCCAGACAAAGAAGATACTGCAGTGCTGAAGAAAACTCTCTCTTGTTCTTATCCCAACACGCCTTTCAAGGAAGCACTGAAGAAAGAAAATGAAAAGCTTAGAGTGGAGCTACAGAGGTCACAAGCAAATTGGGATGCGAGTCAATGTGAATTCATTCAACGTTTATTAGATGTCACTGAAGTTGCGGCATATTCTCTTCCAGAAAAATTTTCTCCTGAAAAAAATCATAAAATTGTAGAGAACACTTACATTGATGCTAATCATGACAAAGAACACGCATATGATGACAAGTCTTATGAGGGAACTGATGCTGTTTCAACGTCAAGGTGATTTGCCCCCTTATCCCTTGAGTTTAACAAGTATTATTTGTTCACCGGATAACTCATCTGTCTGAAAATTAAAATAGTTCATGCTCCTTCCATCTCTTTGCTTTCTTGTGCGGCCAATAATAGTTGTCTTAGATGAGTTATCTAATTTTTCCATTTTGATAACTAATCATCTCTTGGCACAAACAGATATTCATCTGGAGGTTCATATCAGGAGGAAGAATGGCATACAGATTTACTTGCTTGTTGCAATGAACCTTTTCTTTGTATGTTCTTTCCTACTGTTCATTATTTTGTTCAGATTATAGTTGAAAGCGGTGCTTTGACGCTCCTGAGGGTTTATTATCTATATTGTGAGGTTCACGGTGGCTGTGATGTTATTGATGATGTATCTCTCAGATGTCTTGTCAATTGACTTTCTAAATAGTCGGCAGCATGTTCCACACCATTTTATTACTTCATTTTGCCCCTACCTCAAATTTACGTGTTATTGTTGATGTCCACCAGTGGTGATTGATTGGTCAAGTCTGGCATAGTAATCACATTGATCATATACGAACCCCTATTGCATGGGTTGTTAAATGTCGTCCTTCTCAATATGAGTTGATAACTTACGTTGCAGGTATGAAGACGTTCTTCTATCCCTGCGGGACATTTTCAAAGATTGCTACTGTTGCAAAGAACAGACCCATATGTAAGTTACGGCATAGAGTCTGTTAGCATTTGACAAGCTGTTTTTACGCAGATGGATAATGACTGAAAGTGTCTTGCTTTTATTAGTTTTAGGAATGGGATGACGTTTGGGTAGAGGGTAGGCCAAGTTGGTGATGTCGAACATAAGTTCCTTTTCTCACCCCCACCCCCCGGGGGTTTTTTGGGGGTTGGGCGGTGGGGTGCAGCAACGATATAGGTACTTCAGAAAATTCTCCTACGTTACTATGTTTATCAGGACTCCAAGTAGTGGTTAAGTGACTATATGTGCTTTGGCCTTGTTGAAGTGAGATTTAAAGACAGACTATATTTACACTTTCACATCTCGTGAACAATGAAGAGGAGTTGACTAATGATGAAGCAAGTTCTTCTTCTTGTGATTTTGTGATTTTTTGCTATATGAGCTAAATATGTGAAAGGAGTCTTGTCTCATAAAGCACAAAAGAGCTATTCTTTGATTTTCCAAACACCACCTTAAGAAAGAACAATATCATCAATGAGGCCATTACTCTGTCATATATGGTGACTTCCATGTAAAGGAGACAGATGACTATGATGTTGGAGTTCTATTGGAAAACGAAGAATTTTCTTGAAGTCTCTAGATTACTGCTAAAGTCGTTTTTTCTTGCAAGTTGCAATGCAGCTCTGGTTCATTTACCAGCCTTAGAACATCATTGAAGTTCCATTACTAAACCCTGCTTTCTGCTTTTTCAGCTTCCGCGGAAGCATGTAATGAATTGATGGCATATTCATTAATTTTGTCTTGTTGTTGCTATACTTGTTGCATAAGGAGGAGGCTTCGGAAGATGTTCAACATCACGGTACTGCTTCCATCTCATAGATATGATCTTCTCTTATTGGTTCACCACTCATTGTAGGGCTGCCCATTATCTTAACGGTGTTATATTCTGGATTTTTCTTAATAGCCATAAGATCATAATGCTTAGATATTATGTTGTGTGGTTGATATACTGTGAATGTAAAGATGAAGTTATACCAGCGTGCTCATTTGACAATGTAAAACAACAACGGCAACAGACCATATTCAATAAATTACATGGATTGTATAACATTCTTGTGCTTCCAGTCATAAAGATTCCACAAACTATTACGTTGGTACCCAAAGACCTAATATATAGGCAGAGCTTCATTTCACTGTGTAAAATGTGTTCATATTCTTCTGGGAGTAGTACTCTACACCCATTTCTCTTTGCCATTGTTTTGCATGTGATATACATGTATACATGTTTTCGTTACTTTTCTAACTGTTTCTTGATTATATAATTCTCAAATTGAGTTTTAGAATATATAATTACAGATTATACAACTGTTAAGGCTTGGAAAAATGTTAGATTATGATTGTATTCTGACTTGTTAGCATCTTTTTTTTGGGCTTCTGTAGATGTTTCATAACTTACAGTTGCCTTCTATGGTAGGGCGGATACATTGATGATTTTCTTTCCCATTTGATGTGCTGCTGCTGCGCCCTTGTCCAAGAATGGAGAGAAGTGGAGATCCGTGGGGTTTATGGTATGCCGTTCTCATCCTTCTTTTAGCTTAATGCTTCATTAGTATTGTTACAAATTTCTCCTTTTCATATTCTCATGGCCTGCAATAACATGTTTATCTTTCTCCCTGCAAAACTTGTTTATAAATTATTTGGACTTGGCTTCTTGTTATGAATTGTGAATTACTATTAAATGTAAAATCCATACAAAGTCTTACTATTTCATGAAGTGTGAACAGTGTGTCTTTATCACTCACTCAGATGGCAAGGCCTAAAACTAGTTGCAATATATAAAGTAAATTACAAAGATGTTTTCTGAGTTTAGTTGAAATTACACATACTTCATATTTTTTTTAACCAATAAAATTCTCCCTTGAATTTTACTAAAATTATATGGATTTTCTTTCCATTTACAAGTTAGTATAATGTAGCTTAATTTATGATATCCAAAAGGATGCTTGCTAATCAGTGCATCAAAGGTAGCAAAATGTCTGATGTTAAACCATGTTGCAGGTCCCAAGACAAGCCCTCCGCCGGTACAATACATGGAATCTTAACAACGATGCGTGGTTGGCTTTTGATTAGTTAGGGGTTTCAGGTTACTTGAAGACCATTTTAAGCTTTTAATTATGTATTTTGTTGCTTTCTTTGTTTTCCCTATTTAACCGATGCTTTATCATTCACTCTAACCTTTTTCCTCTACCTTAATAAGTAGCATTGCTGTATAGCTAATTTGTTTGCAATTTTTGTCTCTATCTTCTCTTGTGAATCATTGCTCTTTCCCCTGGTTCGTTATAGTTCTACTCGTCTCAATCTCCTTCGACAATATCGATAAATGTGTTTGTATTTATGTAAAATACTACTTTTAATCTTTAATATAAGAGCCAGATAACTAATTTGAAAATATTAAGAAAATTAGTGAAATTATTTATTTATAATAAATAGATGCTGTCTTCTCTGAAATATCCTTGTTAATCTTGTGTATTCAACCTACTCATTGATAAAAATTCTTTAACAAATGCAATTACTATTGCATATTATGGAGGTAAAATAGATAAATGTTGGAGACAAAGTGGATTGGTTTTTATATTTAAGACTAAATAAAATTTCTAACTATCATATTAAGAACCGGAGATAATATTTACTAAGTGGCAATGTTGCATTCACAAAGTTTTGAATAATGTAACTTGCATACGCTCTATGTATAACAATCATCTTACAAATAATTATTTCAAACGAGATGATGTACTGTAGTAGAAAAGAAAGAAAATTAAAGATCTGCCATAGTAGAAAAAAAACATTTGATTTAATATTTGAAAACCTAACTATGGTGTAAAAAAAAAAAAAAAGGTTTGACCAAACATTTAAACCTTTACCATGGTTATAAGAATGTACTAATAGCTTTCTAGGTTTAACTATGATAGAAAGCATTAATCATAGCTTTAGAAATAATGATCATGATTAAAATGATTTAAACTAGAACATTGAAGTTTATCTATGATTGAAAAAAAGGGAAAGTTAGTGTTTAAAGGCAATCATTTATAGAAGGGCAAAAATTTTTAACTAGACATTGACAATCCAAACCAAAATAGAAAATAAGCAAATTTTGATTAGAAATGCTATCAGTTAAAATGAGTTTAAGTTAGCAATTATCATCACACTAAAGAAGCAAACATTTCTGTCATGATTTTAAAGGATTAAACCCTTTATAAACAACATTAAATATCACAACAAATGGGCTTTGGGGCATTTTAAAACCCACAACACAAGTTCTCACAGACAAACTCATAAACACAAACCATTAATCATCATTATTTTAACCAAGGTAAATTTTTGTTTTTTTGGGACTCAAACCAAGGTAAATTTTGAATAACATTTCATTCATATATCCTATCCTCTAGCCATAATATTCAAATGTATGCGAATCCACACAAAAATATCACATGCATAACCTAGAGGCCACATGCCATTTATAAGCACCCATCTAAATAACAAGTAATCAAAAGTATAATTAAGATAAATTTTCCAAATAATAGAGTATGCGATAAGCCCTAGAAATGGCAACATACAATAATCCGAAGCATTAAAAAAAGAAAGGAGACTAGTGCAATATTAAATGACAAACCAACTAAGCCTTTGAAGCCTTCCTGATTGTCCACTTCTAGAACTTTGACCTGAAAAAATGACAAATAACGAAGGGGAATAAACGCATTGGTAACCAACAATCTTACTAGCATGGACAATAATATGTGCTGTTGAGGCTCCAAGTGAGACATTTATAATAAGTGTAAACCACAATATCACTTTAATGAAACCTTGTTATGTGTTTTCCTTCATTGTTGGTATGGTGAAGGGAGACACATCCTTCTAATAACAACTGGAGATATCATCTTCTTCTTGGAGTATGATGCTAGCACTCATCACTACAACAGAGAAAGGTTTTTACATCAAAATTTAATGACGGTTTTAAAAAGAACCATAGTAAAAAAGAGGTGGTGGTATTTTTGTAAATAAGAGAAACTACGGTTAGTCCAATAATCGTCGTGGAAACTCTGACAACATGGTAAAAAATGGAATTGAAGAGTCATATTGTTACTTTTAATGACGGTTTATAATAGTAACCATCATATTAATTTACTTAAATGCCCTAGTCGGACCCGTGATGATTTTAGAGTTTTACTTTCTACTTCAAAATTTCACTTTATTGTGAAGTGATACTTTATCCTCTCCTTCAAACTTGTTCCCCAAGGTGTTTTTGGGTCAATCCCTGGCATTTTCATGGCGTTTCTTGGCTTCCATCGTCATCCCTCTGCTTCCTATGTGATCTCCTCTCTGTTGTCGAGTTGTCTTCCAGTTTGCGCTTCTCTCTTCTCTTTTTGTCTTCCTCTTTAATGGTTCTATTTGCATATTAGTCACACTTTGATTGTTTTAAACTATTGTGTATTATGTTTTTTTTTTTGCTCTAGGTGCTTGAATTTTGCAATTCATGTTGGTTTTGTATTGTTGTGTTGTTGTATGTAATGGGTATGCGGATTCTTTAAAAGCTTGATGGATGTTTGATCCTTGCAAACTCTTATGTATTCTTTTTTTTTTTGCTCTTGAGATATGAATTTGGCAATGTAGTTTAGTTTTGTATAGTCTAATGTTGATATATAAATTTTATCAAATTTTTGAATCTAATCGTATTAAGATTGATGTTGATTGTTGATTTTGGAGTAGATATTTAACTATTTGGTTTGGTAGTGCTCAAACATGAGCAATTGATTTGTTTTAGCAATTGGGTTTTTATGTTTAAATTGAGTTGTTTGAACAATTGGGTTTCTATGTTTGAGTTGATTTTATTACTTCTAATATTGATATTGGTTATGATGGTTGAATTTTGATGATTTAAAACATCGATATTGATTTTGTTGTTTAGTATTGAATAATAGGATACCTTATATTAAAGGGGAACTCTGCCAAAAAAATTTTAAAGTAAGGCAACCCCTTATTACGTTTAAATTTTTGCTTATGTGTTAGTCAATTTAATGACTAATACTACTCAATAATTTGAATTAAATAGAGCAATAAGTGATTCAAATAGAGATTCATTTTGGTTTAGTTAATTGTTCATTTTATCTAGCATGTGTAAATACTAACGGGGATGGCTTATGTTTTAGGAAAAATCCTATCAAAATTTCAGAAACTTAGTAATATTATAATGGATCATAATTGGACAAAAGCTAACCGAACGAGTGTGGAATATGAGAATAGAATGGAAAGTTTTCTCCAATTCACTGAAAGACATGCACATAGTCAAAGTGGTTTATATTGTTGTTCCTATGTGGATTGCTTAAACATCACCCGACTGAGCATTCCTATGATAAGGGAATATCTTCTTTGTGATGGAATAAATTTGAAATATACAAGTTGGATTTCGTATAGTGGGAATAAAACTAGTTGTATATTTAAGAAGAAAGAAGCTGTGAATAATGTCTCATGTGACAGAATGGATGATATGATTTAAGATTTTCACACAAAGTCCTTTATGTAACTTCATGAACATGAGAGCTTGCATAGTGATGCAAAAAAGCCTTTGTACTTGGGGTGCTTTAGCTCTACATGATTGATGGGCATGTTAAAATTGATGAACTTAAAAGCAAGACACGAGTGGACTAATGCTAGTTTTATAGAGTTACTTGAATTATTGAGTGATAAGCTTTCAAAAGGTAATTTACTTCCAAAACAAGCTTACGAAGCCAAAAAAACAGTAGGTCGGATGGGTTTAGGATATTAAAAAAAATACATGCTTGCCCTGATGATTGCGTATTGTATAGAAATGAGTATGCGGTGATAAATAAATATCCAAAATGTGGTACTTCATGATATAAAGTGAAGAATGACATTGATGGTGAATGTGATGATGAGATAACTAACAGGTCTCCTTTGAAGGTTTTGTGGTATCTTCTCATACTACCACAGGTTAACCGTATGTTATCTAATTCCATAGAAGCAAAGAACTTAGGATGGAATGCTGATAAGAAAATAAGTGATGGTAAGCTTCAAAATCAGGCTAATTCTCCTCAATGGAAGAATGTGGATGAAATGCTTCCTGAATTTGTTGGTGAATCAAGAAACCTTCAGCTTGGACTCTATATAGATGGAATCAATCCTTATAGTAATCTTAACAGCACACATAGCTCATGATTGATGCTCCTAGTGATTTACAACTTACCTCCTTAGTTGTGTATAGAACGGAAGCATATTATATTGTTCTTAATGATTTCAGGGTCGAAACAGCACACATATTATGTAGAGTGTGGACACTATGTAATCCACTATATGTATGAAATAATTAGCATCAGAAAAATTAATAATTTTCACAAGGTAAATATATATGCAATTTATGATTTTATTAATAAGCTTGTAAATTTTAGTGACTAATGATGTATTTTCATTCCATTTCCATTTTCAGGCATTTGAAAATAATCACCTTACTCAAGTGAGGAGATTGATTTCATAAGAAACATTTTGTCCATCTTCTTACTTGAACAAAGTAGTTGGTGAATTGCTTTTACACTTTATGCGATTCTTTTATAACTTTAGCTTATTTAGGACCTGTCTTCAATATTAGGCATTTAGGAATTAGCATTTAAATTGGTTTTGTATAGGACTTGCTTTTAAGATATAGCAGTTGAATTAGCTTTATATAGAAAATTGGTTCTAGACTAGTCTGGTATATAACTTCTGCCTATAAGGTTTAATATTATAGGAAGCTTTGTAAACAAAATGAATTGCACATAAAAAAAGGACACCTTTTTTACATCGGTTATTTTAGTAATTGTCGTAGATAAATTAATCAACAACATTTACCATGGCTAAATGTCGTTGTTTTATGAATAATCTACAATACTTAGGGATTATAACCGTAGTAGAATTATCATACTTTCGGTGATAGTTACTAACCCAACCTTGTAGAAAATGTACATTCTACGACGCCAACAAATCATCGTAGAATGTTGTTGAAACTATGTCACCCATGTCCACATTCCCCTTTTAACTGTCATTAAAAGCTATCTATAACTGACATTAATGAACCTTTTTCCAGTAGTGCATTGAAGCTTTCCTATGGTGGTGGATTGTTCTAGCATATGACCAACTTTGCCTCACTAGTATAATGGCAAGTTTGCCTAATTTCCTTGGGTTTTGGCTTGTTTACAATTTATGGGCTATATGAACATAGGTGGTAGTCTATTTACTGAGCAGTTTATCCAGTCATCCTTCCTATTTATACCTTCCCAAATCATCTACAAGTAACTTATCCTGATTTTTGCATGTCATACCCTCCAGAGCCCTACTGATCACTGATAAAACATAGTCGCCATAGCTCATTGTATATGAGGGTTACTACTATAATAGGAGAAGATGTTGAGGCTCATTACAAAATATGGTCTGTTTTTCCTTTTCATGAACGTTGTCGTGTTGTGGGTCATGCTGTTGAGGAAAATGGTAAGATTGCATCTAATGAGGATACCATTCTCTTGTTGGGTTCCTATAAGCCTTTGGCCAAAAAGGCTTGCTTAATGGAATGCTGTGACACATGAATGGATATTGCAGAATGGATAAATGCTGTATTATCTTCTACTTTAAGGCTACTCACTTGTTTTGTTTTCTTTCATTTGTGTGTTTTGCTTTCATTTAGTTTCTATGTTTTGATGCTGCTCATTTGAATCTTTAGCACTTCACTTCATCTACTTTCATGCACTCTCTTTTAATGTGGCTTTTATGCCATACTTTTGTTCGTAACAAGCTAATGCTAGTGTACATATGAATGGACTATCCAACAAGCTACATATGCATCACTACAAAAAAAAAAATGACTTTGGTGGCGACAAAAAGTCACCGCTGAAAGATTTTGCTGCTGAAAAGTAGTTGTTATAGTGGCTGCAGCTAAAAAGTATTAGTGGTGACAAAAAAAATCACTGTTGAAAGTATAAGTTTTAGGCCAAAAGTACTTTTAGTAGCAAAAAATTCTCACCACCTAAAGTGACTCTCAACAATGACTTTTTTGTTGCTACTAAAAGTGATGTTAGAGAAAATTTGCTTCACCAGCTCCACGTCATCACTGCTGGCTGCCACATCCTCACTATTTCACCACTCATGCCTTGTCTTTGTCTAAATATTTTTAGCTTAAATGTGTCTTCTTTAAGGTTCAAACTCATGACCACCTCCTTTTGTGTCTAATCTTTTTGCCATTGAGTTGGATTGAATTTGCTGGTTATTATAGTAAAATAAAATATATATGATCATATTATACTTTCAGTGGAGATGTTAGAAAGTCACCGCTAAAGTCTAAGGTTGAATGAAGATCAACTTTCAGTGACGTCAAAAAATATCGCTCCTAAAAGTGAGTCTTTTAGCAGCAAATATAGGATGTTGCTGTTAAATGTATGCCCTCTAAAGACATTCAATGATGACAGAAAATGTCATTACTAAAGGTCTCACATTCAGTGATGACTTTTTGTATCACCATTGAAAGATACTTTTAGTGACAACTTTTAATGAATACAAAAAAAGTCACTGCTAAAGTTACTTTTAGTGGCGACAAATTGTCACTGTCAAAAGTGACTTTAAGCAACAACCCTTTTGTTGATACTAAAAGTGATGCCAGAGAAAAATGGCCTAATTAGCGCCACGTCCTTGCTGAACGGTGCCACGTCATCAGCAGGGTGGCTGCCACGTCATTGTCACATCACCACTCTCATGTCTCATCACTGTCCAAATATTTTCAGCTTAAATGTGTTTTCTTCAAGGTTCAAACTTGTGACCATCTCCTTTCATGTCCAATCTTCTTACTGTTAAGTTTGGATTTAATTTGTTGATTATTATTATAAAATATATATATATATTATACTTTCAGTTGCAACGTTAGAAAGTCATCGCTAAAAGTTTGAGGTTGAATGAAGACCCCAGAGACTTTCAGTGGCAACCCTAGAAAGTTGATGCTGAGAGTATGCTTTACGGCAGCATCAAAAAATATTGCTATTGAAAGCGAGTGCTTCCGCGTCGAATCTAGGATGTCACTGCTAAATGTATGCCATCTAAAAACATTCAACAATGTCAGAAAATGTCATCACTAAAGGACTCACATTTAGTGGCGACATTTTGTGTCGCCACTAAGAGATACTTTTAATAATGACTTTCAACGGTGACAAAAAAAAAGTCATCACTGAAGATCGACTTTTAGTGGCAATACTTTTGTTGCCATCGAAAGTCATATTTTTAGTGGGGACTTTCTAGTGTTGCTACTGAAAGTTAACTTTTTTTTTGTAGTGATGGCAGCCTTACCATGTGGTAAATGAATGAGAATTTACCATTTATACAATTTGCCTTGATAATAAATGCAATGCTATTAATATGGTTAATTACATGGAGGCACAATTGAAAATCCAAAGAAAATGGAGACAAAATCTAAGTGTTTCTTATAAATAGGAACAAGTCATGTCAAAAAAAGTTTTTCTATAAAAAGGAATGGGGAGTATTTATTTAATTTTTTTAAAAAGGGTTAAGGTATAAATATATCATGAAATATTTAAATACTGATTTCTCTTCTTAAACTTATACAATTATAAGTCAATAATTTAATTCAAATATAACAACCAAGAGTAGGAATCATTTTATGTTGCTCAATTCAGATCTTTGAATTGAAATGAATTCATAGGCAGAATTAAAAGCACATATTATTATTTATTTTTTTGGTTTTAAATCATTCGAATGAGGCAAAGGGCTATATGATTGAAGAAATAATAGAGCTTTCATAGCACAGATGAGGTAACACTTTCTTGATGACTATATAAGGAGGATTGGGTGGTTGTATCCCCAACAAAAAAGAAAAAAATGGAAGATTGGGTGGTAACATATATCTATATACAATTTGCCTATGATGTAGGAGGACAAAGATTTATCCCTTATGCTGGTCAAAAAAAAAAACAAAGAAAGAAAGAAAGACTTGTCCTCATGAAAGCAAGGGAAAAAAGGATGATTATGTGAAATTTAAATCCAAGATCTTATATTTCAAAATTTAAATATAAAGATCTTATGGTTATTATGATCATTGATATTGATATTAAGAAAAGATAATATAATTAAACTAGGTCCTCTAAATTATTCTATATGATAATTTCTGACATGATTGGATTTATTAATATTTAATAATTAATAATTGATCTCTATGTTCATCACTTATAAAAATGTCTCTCTCTATTATTTCTCATTATTGTTTTCTTTTCCCTATAATCATAAGTTCGGGTTATTACATTAATTGTCGTACCTTTTTTGTAGAGGTGTTTACGGGATGGGACGAGACCGGGACAGTCCCGTCCCAGTGAACAAGGACTAGACAGGGATTTTGTCCCGTGTCCCGTCCCGGTCCCATCAGGGCCGAGACGTCCCGCTTCCCTTTTTTTTAAAAACAATACTATAATTTTTTATATAAAATTTTTTTATGTGATAATACTTATTTTTTATTGGCTTCTAAAGATAAAAACATTATGTAGAAAGCTTAATTATATAGCATAAAAAAGGTGTAAAAACAATACTGTAAAAAAAATACCGTAAAAAAAACACTATATAATGACTTTATGAATTATTTTATTGAGATAATATTACAACTTAAGAGCTACAAATCACCATAAAAATAAGAGTTATTATTAATAAGTAAATTGAATAATCGAATAATAATTATTAATAAATAATTTTTAAAAAAAAAAACTCGGGACGGGACGGGATGACCCCGTCCCGCATCCTGTCCATCCCGTCCCGTCCCGAGATTTTTTTGTTTTGCCCTATCCTGTCTTGAACGCATTGGGACTGGAACGGACAAATTGAACATCCTTACTTTTTTGTTACTTTTTCGTGTGCTTTTGTGTCTAAAAAACTTTCATGATATTTTTTTTTGAATTGAAATTGGATGCGATAAAAACATTATAAAGATTACAACCAGGGATCAAAAAGAAAAAGCCTAAAAAACCTACATAAAATCTCCCATCAGCGACTGCTGATTGTATAAAGGTGGTGGTTGATTAATGATAAAAAAAGTTTTCCTGCAAGATGTGAGCTATCCTAGCTAACTAGTCAGCGACAAAGTTGTCTTCCCTTCTAATGTGGTGGAAATCAACTTGCCAATCCCTAAGAACTTTCATGATATCAAATGGACATTCATGAGTAAATTTGTATTTTAATTCTTTTTAAAATATTATTTGCCTAATTTTCAAAACATAAAATTGCTAGTAACATTGTTGGTTAAAAAAAATTGCGAGTAACATAATTTAATTTCTTGCCATAGATATAGATAGTGTATTTATAATTCTTCAGTGGCAACAAGAAAGTAATTCTCCCCATAGATCAATATATTGATAAATTAAGAGATAATGCATTAATAATTCTGCCTATAGATTAATATATTGATAAGAGGTCAATATGAGGACTAGCGCTCCACTCCTATTTAGTCTTTATCTTCATAAAAGAGGGTTTAGGAAGAGAAGAGGACCTTGAAGGTCAGACTTTCTCTCTCCTTTCTTAGGCGCTTGCTTTCCGATAGAGAGTTCATTGAGCAACGAGGCACAAAGAAAGGCTCTAAGAGATGATGGTTTAACTAGACTATTTCGCCTCGTAACACATGCAATAGAAAGAGTTCACTCTAGATAGATTAGTACTAGTAGATTCTAAAAAAATAAATTAAGAGATAGATGACTTTATTTAGACTAAAATCAGAAAAATTAAATGCACGATCTAAACATTAAACCTCCCAAACCAATAAAAGTTTTGCCAAGAAATAATTTCTCAAATTAGATTATTTTATTTGGAGATTAAACCTCCGAAACCAATAAAAAGCCGCCACATTTATATTGCGAAATAGAAAAACAAACCCAAGCAAAGTAAAAATAAAAATAATGGTTTTTTGGAAAAGAAAAACTGTTTTTGGTCGGGGGATTAAGAAAAGGAAAGAAAATGAATCCCCTTCATGGCTCTATAAATAGACGTTACCTTCGCCGGCTCCTTGGATATATTCAATCTGAAAAAGCAAGGGTTCGGGGTTTGAGTTTTCGTCTTCGCATCGAAGAGTTGCGAAAATCGTGTTGTGTGATCATGTCTTCGAGGAAAATTGTTTTGAAGAGCTGCGATGATAAATTTTTTGAAGTTGATGAGGCCGTGGCGCTTGAGTCGCAAGTGATCAAACTCGGGATTGAGGACGTTTGTGTTGACACCGTCTTCCCTCTGCCCAACGTTGCAAGTAATATCTTGCCCAAGGTAATCGAGTACTGCAAGAAGCACGTCGAGGCGGCCAATTCCGAGGAGATCTCCGAAGATCTCGAAGCCTGGGATGCTGAATTCGTAAGGGTTGACCGTTCTGTGCTCTTTGATCTCATTTTGGTGAGTTATGATTCCTCTGCTTCTTTCAAACTTTGTATTTTTATTGTTTTGTCGGTTTCAGACCTGTCCGTTGTTAGCATAGTTATTTTTCAATGAAGTTATTGATGGTTAGGAATAAGCTTACAAAATTGACCGGTTTTTATAAAATCCTCATTCAATCGATACGCTTTGTGGTAATCTTGGGTGAAAGAAGGGAGAATCTTGAATAGTTATGGTATAGCCGGCTGGAAGTAGGTCAACATTTATATTGCTGAATAGGGGTTTTTCAATGTCCAGGCCCAAGTGCATGTTACTTCTTGGGTTATAATTGCTATTTTATTAATCTCAGCTATTACTGTTCTAAATTCGCAAACATTTGTTGCCGACAGCTGAATTCATTTGAGACGTGACCAAAACTCACTAAGAAGAATATGGTCCCTGGATTCCCCTTACTGAGACATGAACAAAGGGTTTTGTTTAGCAACGGATGTCATGAAGAGGATGATTATTGGAATGTTGGGTAGAATGGAAGTGTGAAGGAGGGGTTTAATGCTCCTATTTTTAATGCTCCTATTTCTCATTCAAAACTATAATGCCACTACAATTATACCTACATGGTCTTTCAAGTTTGGTTGTTCTCATTTTCCTCCTCTCTCTCTCTCTCTCTCTCTCTCTCTCTCTCACACACACACATTCTCTCTTAAGGAATCTTCATATGTTTCCCTCAGAAAATGTCACCATGATTACCGGTTTTCTTCTGCAAACAACTTAATATGGATTTTTCATCGAAATTGTTGCTTCTTCTTTAATTATCTATGCTTTTCAATTTCTTGTTTCCATTGGCTTATGCTTTGAGGAATGGGCTGTTTATGGGTAGAGTTTGGTGATCCCTAGACTGCTTCACGTCTCTTTGGGTTGCTCCAATCATTTCATTTCTTCATTAGAGACTAAAGCCAGCCTTGTTGATCAAAGCTTTTTTAATGTTATTGGCGTAACTGCTCTTTGTGTGATGGCGTAGTTATATGATATTAAAGAAAGAAAAAGTGACAAATGTTGTCTTTGTAATTTCCCTTCTGATCCTTGAATAATGTGAATTCACGAACAATAGACTAGTGTTTCTGCTCCTTTTTCTCAAAAATTTGAGGCTCAAGCGCTTGTTTGATTGTAAAATTGAACCTAAGTATGACAGAAGAAAGTTTTGCATATTTTCATTTTTTTATTCACCTATCTCTGCTCCCAAATCAATATTTTTTACAACAGCTGGTCAATGATGAAATGACTTTCTCTATCCCATTAAACCCGAAAAATAGATTGGCTGATAGCATTCCGTTCCACTTCTCAATTCTTTATTCCATTCTCTACTAAACTGCTAAACATAGTCCTCTCATGACTGTGACATGCTTAATTTACTCTGGATTGCAAACGGTTTCAATTTTAAGATAAGCTTTAGGCTAACCAAATTTGTAACAGACATTGGGTTTTTTTATACCTTTATTAGTGATGGTTGATTATCTGTTACAGCTTATGGTCGTTCTTTATATGAATGTGGATGGTCATACTTGGAAGGGACAACTCGACTTTTCATTTACATCTGAAACTTGTGATCTGCACTCTGTTCTATTGTTCATGTTCATTCCATTTTGAATTCAGTGATATGGTATTTCCTTAGGAAATTAGCTTTGCAGTGTGACCATATATCTTGGTTTTTTGTTCTGCCTATGGTATGTACTTCATATAACTGAGAGTTCGACGTCCCCTCCTGGTTTGCTCGAGGAAGAGGCATGAAAGCCCTTCAGTAGAAGGAAGTCAAAGATAGAGGGGCACGTGTAGTTTCCATATGTAGGAGTAATTATATATTATGTTGTTATCTGTTAGGCATTATTTTTATTCAGTTTCAATCTTGGGGAAGTTGTATTCTGTTATGGTGGGTTCAATGTTGTCAAAGGTGAGTGCCGTTGCGCCTAAGGTGCTGAGGTGAGTCACCAAACAGCTCTAGTGCCTCTCATGTGGGTTATTTTCAGTAATTGTAAAAGACTATATATTTATATTCTGTACCTGCCTTGCCTTATCATGAATGAGGTACTATTCAGTCTAACTCTGAGGATCCTCTTCAAGAATTTAGATTCTGGTTGTAGAAGACTTCTCTGCCCTATGTCTCCTCTCTTCTTCCTTGTCCTCCTCTCCCTAATTCTCTTTCTACCAGTATCTGTCACTAGCATTCTTATTAATGTGGAGGCAATATTTGTTTTCATCAAATTACTTCTTGTTTGCCTTCTATTATAGCTGTACTTCCATTATATTTCTGTATGCAATGAAGGATATTACTAATTTGTGATGTGGCTTTTGGTTTCTCAGGCAGCTAACTACTTGAACATTAAGAGCTTGCTGGACCTAACATGCCAGACTGTGGCAGACATGATCAAGGGGAAGACACCCGAGGAGATTCGGGAGACCTTTAATATCCAGAATGAGTTTACCCCGGAGGAAGAGGAGGAAGTCCGTCGGGAAAACCAATGGGCATTTGAATAAATTGTTTGTCTTTTGGATTTACCAATGTGGATGCATGCTACTATATGCTCAATAGTTTATCTCGCCGAGTCTATATTTCTGTTGCCTTTATTCATTTGTGAGACTTGAATCTCTTGTTAAACATGCGTATTTGTAAATGATTAGCTGAATTTGAATATATTAGTTCTCGTGTTCATTCGCTATGAGGCGCATTGTTTATTGAATGCCATTAGCCTTAAGTCTAAATCATCTCGCAATATTAAGGGGTATCTTGCTCTATCATTCCCTGTTTTAGTCAGATAGATCAAATGACTCTTGGAGGAGTTGCAAGCGCAGAGAAGTCTTAAATCTTGTGAATTTCGCTGGATTTCTTGTAATTGTGGGGGTGCATGTCCTGAGAGAATACAACACCCATTCTAAGATATTTTAAATCGGTAAAACTCACAAGGTTTGATTTCAAGCGAGGTTTATTATTATTATTTTCACGGAGGGGGGAAATCATGTTTGAAGATTGAATTCACAATTTTCTTTTTGGTTTTAAAAACTACTAATGGATATGTATATTCACTGTTTCACTTGTAAATTTGTGTTGTTTGATAGATAAGTAGACTTAAATATTTTTTATTGTAAATTCGCATTATTTATAAATTTGCTTTATGTGAATGATGAACGGGAAAAACGATACAAAATAAATGTGTTTTTTTCCTTCGAATATCTTTGATAATCATATATATTCAAATAAAAACTTTTCACATGTATAATTATCATGAGAATTACTTGAAAAAAAAAAATATGAGAGACAAAGTGAATTGTAATCTTATATATATGATCAAATTAATTTTTTAACTTGCTTTTATATTTATGATAAGAGGTAGTATTAGTTTGCGATTAATGATTATGTTTTTCACATTTTAAACTCATTCTTTCAAGTTAGTTACAATTTGGAAAATTGCATCAAGATCCCAGAGAAGAGAAAATAATGCAAAAAGGTCTTTAAAAATCTTATTAATGATATAATTTCCCTCAACTCCTTATAACTTGTGTTTTTTTTTGAAATACTTGTTATTCTTACACTACCTCCAACATAGTGCATATCATCTTCTCCATTATTTATAAACTTCTCCTTTATATGGGGAAAAAAAACCAAAATAGATGTTTTTTGGACGTGCCCACCATCTCTAATGTAAACCTACATGACATTATTGTCATTAACAAGTGAAGCAGTAATATTTAGAACTGAGCAAACAACCCGCAACTTACAGAGATTGGGCCTGTTTGAACTTGCCGAAAAAAGAAATAAATAGGAGGCCATAAACGGATGGGTTTCAATAAATGGACAAACTACGGGCATAGGCACGAGCTGCCCATGCACTCCTATTTAGCATTTTTGTCATTAAGAAAAATAAAAAAAGTGGGGAGACCTAGGGCAGAAAGTCACAACACACACATTGTCACACGGTCTCACTTAGCTCATGACTTTCTGCTCTCTTGTGTCTCGCCTTCTCGCTCTGTCTCTCGCAGCCTCACGCTTGTCGCTCGCTCAATCCTGATGCCAACGTCCCACGACGGGTCTCCTCCCTCATCGCAATGTCGGCATCTCACGTCTGAGTTCTCCCTCATCACAACGTCATCGACAACGTCTCCCTTCCCTGTCAATCTCTCTCGCCTCTTAACCCTCTCTCACCTCCCAGTCTCGCCTACACTCTATGAAACAATCTTCCTAAATAAACAGATAAACCTATTTTTTTATAGTAACTTTAAGAAATAAATTTTTATAACCAAACCATGCTAAATACAAACTCAAATTATATCATAATCATCGATACTAACTAATTATATAATATTGTTATCCGTGATAGAAAAGAGCAGCACCCAATCATACATCCTATTACGGATAAAAGAACTTTTCTTAATTGATTTAAATACAAACTATATAAAAAAGGATCAATCTTATCTAATATGGTTATAAAACAACATATAATATAGCTCATAAATCAAAATATTAAAAATTAAATCTTAATTCATACTTTATAATAAATTCATAAATAAATCACATGCAAATATGTGATCCTAGGCCTCTGGCCACCTATCAGCACACATATCACAATAGTACACTCAAAGGACATAAGAAATAATAATGCATGAATTAATTAAAACCAATTTATCCTAAAGTGGCAATATACAGGATATAACATAGCTCATAAATTGAGGAGACGCTACAAGTTGCTAATGTAGCTTTACTTCTCCTGAGCCTTCCCTGACATCCCTCTTTTAAAGCTTTCACCTGAAAAATATTAAACAATAGAGATGAGACAACGTCTCGGTAACTAAATCCCTACTTATCACACACACTAGCATGAGCTAGCGAGGTGTTAGGTGGGATACACAAAGTTAATAATAGTCAATAGACACTTATCTAACAATTGAATTCACAATAACCATATAGGTCAAATATATCTGTCAATCTCATGCAACTGATGATTTCAAAAGAGATAACATACTTTTCATTTATTCAAAGGATATAAACATCAATGAAGATACCATGTCATATGAAACCCATGAACCCAAATTCATCCTTATATCCTCTTTATTTCTGCCGACTGGACCCATGGGTTAAATTCTTTCCATTTGACTGGCTACTATGACAAGCTCACCACTCGAGTGATATGGATCGGTCAAAGATCACAGAGCACTCGGTGGACCATGGGTCCCCCCTCGAAGAATTAGTGGGGTGTCGCAGTCTCTCGAAGAACTAGTGGGATAATAATAGTGGCCAACCATAGAGCTCCATATGGAGGTCGATACCACGTGGTAAGTATATAAATCTCAATAACTCCAATTATCTCCTTCCCCCATCCAAACTAGATGCACAAGGTTCAGAATAACACATTTATATATATAATCAATTGAATTCCAGAATAAGACCTCATAGTCATAATCATTAATTTCTACCAATACAAACGATTTCAATCATTTTCAAAACAGTATCCCACCAGACAGTTCATACAAAACATAATATATGTATACGAAACTTGGTTATAAAATTACTCACCAACCTTATACCAATGCATGTAATAGATAGAAATTTAGTTACCTCGTCTCCTAGCTAACAATCAAGTACAAACGAGGCCCGTACTTGAAAATGCCACAATAAGGTTTATATCTACAATTGAAATTAAAATATTATTTCTACAGTATTAGAGTAAATTACTCACAAATTTCTAACCTTTAACGCTCCCTCTAATACATTCAGCTGTTACTCGAAATTCTAGCTCAAAAAGCGTTTTCTAAGGTTTGGGATAAGAACATATATATGATCATTTAACTGTTGAATTTAATTTTCTATCTATCATGATACTATCCTCTAAATTATAGCCCAATCTAACGCTGAATGAACTTTAAAATGCTAATTTACTATTCAGGACTCTATTTGCTAAATCCAAAAGATATAAGTTAAAAACGTACCTAATAACTTGTAACTTGGAGATCAAAATGATGATCCAACCGTTGAAATTAACGATTTAGATGTCCCAAATGGGCTGACCAAATTTCAGTTCGATCCAACGGTTAATAAACTTAAAACTAGCACTTTTCTGAGACTACCTCAGATATGTGCAAATATTATTTACTCACTTCAAGCTCCACTCACTATCTCCTATATATAGGCTCCTCAAACTCCTTCACTCTAAAGATTAGTCGATGTGGGACTTCTATACCATGGTATAATTTTCTAGAATCACACACAATCACACACAAAAACATTATTAAAATAATAATAATAATAATAATAATTTGCCTATATCTAACCTTTTTTTTTATTAACTTAATACTAAAATATATTTATTTATAAATTTAATTAAATACCAGATAAAAATAAGGATGTTACACTCTACACTCTTGTAAGCTTCAAATCTTTCATTTCATTTCATCTTCAAATTAATGATGGTTATCCTGTTTTATGGTTTGATTATTTGAAGTTTGGAGTTTGAAATTTTGATTTCAAGAAGGTAAGACCTTGGTTTGAAAATTGATTGGTTAATGGTTATGATGCTATTATCATATTATGTTATGATGGATTTAAGGTTTAATTAATTATTTATTTACTATTTGCTTGAGTTATTTCTACCCTTTAATATGAAAAGGTTAGTAGGAAAGAGACTTCAAATTTAAACAGGTTTTAGATTTTCTTATCTTAAATGGGTCTCCATAACCTGCAAAAATTTGCCCATTTAAACAAGCTTATTTAACAACAAGCTTAAACAGGACATTTACAGCTACGGGCTATCTTAAATGGACATCCCAACCCACCCATTGTTCTTCTTAAGCAATATTAACAAGTATCACGGCTTATATTCACAATTATCATGGCATACATTGATAACTCTCTCTCTTCAACTCTTTTTCTATCTAAATTGCTAGAGGCACCAAGCCTTTTTGGAACTCGAAAACAATTATTAGATTTTTAGGCACCTTTTGCAATATGTTCTCTTACATGGAACTTCAACTGTAATTTTCCCTTACAATTTTCATTCAGCAAGCTATGATAGTGATTAACTAAGCAAAAACTGAAAATCACATGAAGCAGGGGCCTCATTCATATATTTTAGCAAATTTAAAATGTGAAAAAAGTAGTTGCTAATTAAGTAAATAGAAAATGAGGTGTAGTGAATTTCTTAAAAAAATTGTAAATAACGTAAAGAAAGGGTCTTATTAATTGCTAAACTATTATGGTAAATAGCTAATGATATATGATGAATAACTAAACGTAAGTTGTAAATAGCAAAGTGAGTTGTGACCCCTTTTTTTTTTCCTTTTAAATTTGGAGGCATTTATATCTTTGTTACTAAATTTCAATATCACATTTAGGTGCTAAATGGGATTATGGGAATTTGTAACACCAATTTGTCATATTGTTTATTTAAAGTTCTTGTTATGTCATTTTTCCATGACAAATTCATGAGACTTTTTATACGACATTTACTCCTTAATATAAGAGTTAGATAACTAATTTATAGATATTAAAAATATTAGTTAAGTTAATTGTTTGTAATATAGATATTGTCTTCCTCAAAATATTCTTGTTAATAACAGCCAATAAAACTTCTCATTAATAAAAACTCCTAATATGTGCAATTACCATAAAATTACTTGGAAACAAAATAAATAAATATTAAAGATAAAGCGGGTTGATGTCTTATATTTAGGACCAAATCAAATCTTCAACTAGCTCTTATATTAAATATAAAAGGTAGTAATAATTTAGCAAGAA